CATAGCAGATAACTTGAGACAAGGTACATCTAACTAGGTTTCCCTGATAACACGATAAAGTTGCGAAAACAAGGTCGGCCCACTTCTAGAAATTGAAAGGAGATTTCAACCATATCAAAGGCCACACCATCTTAGTCTTCACATCTTAACTTATCTCAATTTATCGACATATTTTGAAGAATTTCACATTCCAAATTTTTAGCAGTCACTTTGGGGCATTATTTAACGCATAATATCAAGATTATAAAATATGATTCAATTAACTGGCTAAATTTGATATGTACGAGGCAAAGGGTTTTCGGCCTCGCATTGATTCTCTCTTCCGAGGCCTACATTTATAACAGGAAACTTAAAAATTCCCCTACTTAATGAACTGTAGAGATTTTTAGAAATGGGCTGAACTCGTTTTCGCAACTTGGTCATGCTGTCAGGGCGACTTAATTGGACACTCCTTGCTCGATGTCTCCTTTTATTATAGTAGGTATTATAATTCCCGACTTCGGACCGTGGACTTGGTACATATTCAGACGATCAGCCGGCATCATCATTGAGTCTTGCTACTCTCAGTACCTATCTACTCGTTAAAAAGACAAGGGAAGTCAACCTTATGGGCAACATTCTGCAGAAACGGTTGTGCTATCACTCCTCTTTCTGTTATGGCTCATCTATCTACTTATATACCCTCTTATCACACTCCCGCACTATCACATCTTCTGATTTGTTCAAATTACATCCCTTAAGAAGTTTGCCCTTTTTTGGCTAGTTTGGTGTAACAACATCGCACCTGCTTTTTATCTTGCCCCCCTTCTCTTTTGAGTTGCTGATCCGACTCGGATCTTCCTCGTGGGTCTGTAGATCCGTTTCTTAACCTTCTGGTTGACCGATTTCACTCGGTTCTACTTCCAGGCACTATTTCTCAAGCCTTTGACCGAGCAGAGCGCCTAGGTTCTGATTCCCATACTTGCAGATATTATGCATTGCCTTTATGAGTCGTCTCATTGCTTAATTCAGTGTGCCCTGGGCAAACTGTCTACGTCAATCTCTGGCCGCCTGCTGCATATCAAATGGATTTTTAGTCAATTTGGCCATAATTCCGAATTTTACTGACAATTGTGCTTATCCGTCTCTCTGATCATGTGACCGCCAGGCCCCCAAAGTTGTAGTTGTTTCCTCGAGCAGACTACACTCACTGAGAACGTCTTCACCTAATTTCCCAAACTTCCCTACTTGTTTCCTCGCGATCC